CCTATGCCTTTTTTTCCACCAAAGTTAGTTCCATTATCTGGTGACCTAATTTAGCTTTTATGGCTAGGACTGTCTCTCCTCTCCTCTCCCCTCCCCTCCCCTACGCCTATCTTTCCCCTCCCCTCTATTTCTCCTCACCCCTATTTCTCCTCACCCCTCTCTCCCCTCCCCTACGCCTATATTCCCCTCCCCCACGCCTATCTTTTCCCTCCCCTCACCCCTCTCTCCCCTCCCCTACGCCTATATTTCCCCTCCCCCACGCCTATCTTTTCCCTCCCCTCACCCCTCTCTCCCCTCCCCCCTCTTCCATCCCTCTCCCACTCAAATCAAATCACATGTTATTGGTCACATACACATATTTAGCAGATGTTATTGCGGTTGTAGCTACATGCTTGTGTTCCTAGCTCCAACGGTGCAGTAGTATCTAACATTTCACAACAATTCATACAAATCTAAAGTAAAATAATGGAATTAAGAAATATATAAATATTAAGATGAGCAATGTTGGCGTGGCATTGACTAGAATATAGTAGAATACAGTATATACATCTGAAATTAGTAAAACAGTATGTAAACATTATTAAAGTGACCAGTGTTCCATGTCTATGTACATAGGGCAGCAGACTCTAAGGTGCAGGGTTGAGTAGCCGGCCAGTGACCGTGACTAAAGTTTAGGGCAGGGTACACCACCCCTTTTCCCTACATAAGCCCTCTTCCCTCCCCACCCCTCCCCCCCACCCCTCTTCCTCCCCCCATCCCTCTCCCTCCCCCCCACCCCCTTCCCTCCCTCCCCACCCCCCCCCCCCCCCTTCCCCCCCCACCCCTCCCCTCCCCCCCCCCCTCTTCCCTCCCCCCCATCCCTCTTCCCCCCCCACCCCTCCCCCCCCCCCCCCCCCCCCCCCCCTCTTCCCTCCCCCATCCCCTTCCCTCCCCCCCCTCCCCGTCCCCCGCCCACCTCTTCTTCCCGTCCCTCCCCACCCCTCTTCCCTCCCCCACCCTGCTTCCCCCCCCCACCCCTCTTCCTCCCCATCCCTCTCCCTCCCCACCTCTTCCCTCCCCCATCCCCTCTTCCCTCCCCCAGTCCCTCTCCCCATCCCTTCCTCCCCACCCTCTCCTCCCCCACCCCTCTCCCGCCCCCACCCCTCTTCCTCCCTCCCCACCCCGTGGCCCCCCCCCTCCCCTTCCCCCCCCACCCCTCTCCCCCTCCCCACCCTCTCCCTCACCCCACCCGCTTCCCTCCCCATCCCCTTCCTGCCCTCCCCCATCCCTCTTCCTCCCTCCCCCCACCCCTCTTCCCTCCCCCATCCCCTCTTCCCTCCCCACCCCTCTTCCCTCCCCCATCCCTCTTCCCTCCCCACCCCTCTTCCTTCAACAGGACAACGACCCTAAGCACACAGCCAAGACAACGCAGGAGTGGCTTCGGGACAAGTCTCTTAATGTCCTTGAGTGGCCCAGCCAGAGCCCGGACTTGAACCCGATCGAAAATCTCTGGAGAGACCTGAAAATAGCTGTGCAGCAACGCTCCCCATCCAACCTGACAGAGCTTGAGAGGATCTGCAGAGAGGAATGGGAGAAACTCCCCAAATACAGGTGTGTCAAGCTTGTAGCGTCATACCCAAGAAGACTCAAGGCTGTAATCGCTACCAAAGGTGCTTCAACAAAGTACTGAGTAAAGGGTCTGAATACTTATGTAAATGTGATATTTCCATTTTTTTTATTTTTATTAAATTAGCAAACATTTCAAAAAATGTGTTATTGCTTTGTCATTATGGGCTATTGTGTGTAGATTGATGAGGGGAAAAAAACTATTTAATCAATTTTAGAATAAGGCTGTAACGTAACAAAATGTGGAAAAAGTCAAGGGGTCTGAATACTTTCCCGAATGCACTGTACATTGTAATATTGTTGTATGGTGGTATTATAAATTTTGTAGATATGTAGTGGTGTAATAATGTTATATGATGTACTGTTTTATATTTTGTTTTATATGTTATGTAAGTGCCTTAATGTGTTTGGACCCCAGGAAGAGTAGCTGCTGCCTTGGCATTATTAGGGATCCCTAATAAATACAAATACAAGTGCGATCTCACAGTTCAATGCTAAACCACTTCTATGCTCGCTTCGAGGCAAGCAACACTGAAGCATGCATGAGCGCACCAGCTGTTCCGGATGACTATGTGATCACGCTCTCCGTAGCCGATGTGAGTAAGACTTTTAAGCAGGTCAACATTCACAAGGCCGCAGGGCCAGACGGATTACCAGGACATGTACTCCGAGCATGTGCTGACCAACTGGCAAGTGTCTTCACTGACATTTTCAACATGTCCCTGACTGAGTCTGTAATACCAACATGTTTCAAGCAGACCACCATAGTCCCCGTGCCCAAGGACAGTAAGATAACCTGCCTAAATGACTACCGACCCGTAGCACTGACGTCTGTAGCCATGAAGTGCTTTGAAAGGCTGGTCATGGCTCACATCAACACCATTATCCCAGAAACCCTAGACCCACTCCAATTTGCATACCGCCCCAACAGATCCACAGATGATGCAATCTCTATTGCACTCCACACTGCCCTTTCCCACCTGGACAAGAGGAACACCTACGTGAGAATGCTATTCATTGACTACAGCTCAGCATTCAACACCATAGTGTCCTCAAAGCTCATCACTAAGCTAAGGATCCTGGGACTAAACACCCCCCTCTGCAACTGGATCCTGGACTTCCTGACGGGCTGCCCCCAGGTGGTAAGGGTAGGTAACAACACATCTGCCACACTGATCCTCAACACGGGGGCCCCTCAGGGGTGCGTGCTCAGTCCCCTCCTGTACTCCCTGTTCACCCATGACTGCATGGCCAGGCATGACTCCAACACCATCATTAAGTTTGCTGACAACACAACAGTGGTAGGCCTGATCACAGACAACGATGAGACAGCCTATAGGGAGGAGGTCAGAGACCTGGCCGTGTGGTGCCAGGATAACAACCTCTCCCTCAACGTGACCAAGACAAAGGAGATGATTGTGGACTACATGAAAAAAAAAAGAGGACTGAGCACGCCCCCATTCTCATTGACGGGGCTGTAGTGGAACAGGTTGAGAGCTTCAAGTTCCTTGGTGTCCACATCACCAACAAACTATCATGGTCCAAACACACCAAGACAGTCGTGAAGAGGGCACGACAAAGCCTATTCCCCATCCGGAGACTGAAAAGATTTGGCATGGGTCCTCAGACCCTCAAAAAATTATACAGCTGCACCATCGAGAGCATCCTGACTGGTTGCATCACCGCCTGGTATGGCAACTGCTTGGCCTCTGATCGCAAGGCACTACAGAGGGTAGTGTGTACGGCCCAGTACATCACTGGGGCCAAGCTTCCTGCCATCCAGGACCTCTATACCAGGCGGTGTCAGAGGAAGGCCCTCAAAATTGTAAAAGACTCCTGCCACCCTAGTCTGTTCTCTCTGCTACCGCAGGACAAGCGGTATCGGAGTGCGAAGTCTAGGTCCAAAATACTTCTCAACAGCTTCTACCCCCAAGCCATAAGACTCCTGAACAGCTAACCATGGCTACCCAGACTATTTGCACTGCCCCCCACCCCCAACCCCCACCCCATCTTTTTACACTGCTGCTACTCTGTTAATTATTTATGCATAGTCACTTTAACTCTACCCACATGTACATATTACTTCAACTACCTCAACTAGCCGGTGCCCCCGCACATTGACTCTGCACCGGTACCCCCCTGTATATATAGCCTCCCTACTGTTATTCTATTTTACTTTGCTATTTTTTTCTCAACACTTTTTTGTTGTTGTTTTATTCTTACTTTTTTATTAAAAATAAATGCATTGTTGGTTAAGGGCTGTACGTAAGCATTTCACTGTAATGTCTGCACCTGTTGTATTCGGCACAAGTGGCCAATAACATTTGATTTGATTATTCTTCTATGCGAGAAGCTGGCCCGTGCAAGTTGACATTTAAAGTGGTCGATGTAAGGTTAGGGACATCCCAAGGATCCCGGAGAGCACTGACCCTGCTATCCCACAGCTCAACACCCCAAAATCGAATCTGCGTAGAGAGAGTCAGCCAGTCAGTCTCTGTCTATGAGAAGGGGGAGGGACTTCCTAGTTATTATCATACCAGGGGTTGTTCTTGAATTGCGGTGGCATTTGCGTCCCTTGCCTTTGCAACCATGAAAAATACAAATAGTTACTTATCATACATGTTTTTGTTTATATTGAACTGTTTAGCAATGATAAAACATAATGCAAGTCCTTTATACTGCAAAACGTTATGCTTATGCATTGTTTAAAGAACTTTGGGTAAGCAAATTGGCTTGTGTAGAGTTGAAGTGGCATGTTCTGCGGATTTAGAGAAATCGATATATTATTTTGAATGATAGTGAACAAACTTATTTGATATTGTATAGATCAATAAAAAGAACGCTATTAAAATACCTATTTACTAGTATAATGTATGTTTCTCACTTTTATGTAAATGGTGTTACCGCCTTAAATCACTAATTACAAAGATATACAAGAACTTTGAGCATTCCCTCCAAAGGCAAACTGTTATCGGGGAGGGGGTCAGTATATTTGAGAAAATTCTTAGCTAATCACACCATTTCAGTATGTCACTTGGTGCCACTTGGTGTTAGTCAATTTAAATGAAGGTAAATAACATTGTGAGCAAAAATGATTGATCATATCACTTTAGTAAATACTTTTTAAAAGGTTAATAACCGTAGATTTGATCTGTGGCCTCCATTTCAGAAAATCCTCAATAACCAAAAATGTCTCATTGGTATTACCATCATTGGTGTTACTGCTCCTACAGGTTGCACAATGTTATCATAGTGGTAAAAATGATTGTAAGTAATTCAGTTGCCATAGTAGTTGACTTAGAATGGGAAGATGTACCCAAATACATTTAAATTAAAAACCGCAATTCAAGATCGACCCACCAACAGTGTCTCCCGCCAACCAGACTGTGCTGTCTGCTTCCTGCCGGGCTGTCTGCTTCCTGCCGGGTTGGCTGCTTCCCCGACATATAAAAACCCCACCACTGCCTCCCTGCTGCAGTTCTGCCTTCTCTTCTGAATCCTCAACGTCAGCCTGTGAAGGAAAAGAAAACCAGACAAAATGGTGAGTGCTGACTGCTGATGTAGATAATACAATGATCTTTATTTCTTTATTTCTTTCACATGGTATTCGTATGAAAATTATTAGATCAATATTAGATCAATCTGAAAAGTATGTGGACGATGTATTCTGTTACATAAAGACCATGTCCGAAATCTCTTTCCTACTGCTTACTAAAAAACGACGTACTGTGTACTAATCGTACTAGATACTATTCAGAACGGATGCAGTAAGAAACGCATATCCGGCATACTAGGCTCACCCAACCTGAGAATGTCATCTAATGCGCAATTGCGTTGATTCCCGCCCATTATCTCATTATCAGCTGATTCTGTGCATTTCCTATTTTTCATATGTCGATTTTAAGGTGTCATGTATACAACTGATAAAGGATACATGTAATTTAGGTTAAATTGTTATTATTTTGTAAATTATTCTTGTGACAGAAACATCTATAGCCATACGTCAAATGTGGGTCAGATTTCAGTGTTCAAATGTCTATGTAATGTATTAGTCTATTACCAAGTAGAAAGAACAATGACTATCTGTGTAGATAGAAAACCTCTTCGCTTCAGGGCAAAGACATGAATTGCGGATTTTTTTTTTTTTTACATGGGTTTTTATGAGACATGATTGAGCACAAAGGAGAACAGGGAGGGGCGGTCTGAGATGGTTGCCATTTTATGTGCGAGAGATATCTATCGCTGTTTTTACACTGCAGTGGGGTGCGCAGCTGGCCCGGAAGGAGGGAGGAGAGCGAAAAGGAGGGAGGGGGAAAAAAAGAGGGGGAAGGGGGGGTAGCCCACAGCAACAAGGCACACCTTTTCCACACTGGTCCTCTGCTCTTAAAGATACAGGGTCATGCATAACGATCTGCAGTCACATGGCAGATGGAGGATTTGCAAGATGGTGGCCCAGCAGGATAGCCTAGCCAATGACTTTGCTTAAATGTCCCTTTGCTAAATGTGTGGCTGTACTGTATTCATAGTTCAGTCAAATCAAATCAATCAAATTTTATTGGCCACATGCGCCGAATACAACAGGTGCAGACATTACAGTGAAATGCTTACGTACAGCCCTTAACCAACAGTGCATTTATTTTTAACAAAAAAAGTAAAAATAAAACAACAACAAAAAAAGTGTTGAGAAAAAAAAGAGCAGAAGTAAAATAAAGTGACAGTAGGGAGGCTATATATACAGGGGGGTACCGTTGCAGAGTCAATGTGCGGGGCACCGGCTAGTCGAGGTAATATGTACATTTGGGTAAATAACGCGGAAAAACACACATAATAGTACAATTGGTTAGAGGGCTGTAAAACGGCAGCCATCTTCTCCGGCGCTGTAACAATGGTGAAATCCAGGACTTTCCCATGAGGACATTATATTACTTTAACAGATAGGTGGAGATTTAAAATGCATAAGTAAAAGTGAGATGGCGAAAGCAAGGTTGTCGTTAGCAGTAATTTAAAATGTAAATGTCACGTTAGGTTACTCATTCACTCTGAAACAGCTTTGAACCTAAACATGTGCATAGCACTATTTGATTCCAGTTTCCATGTCGTTGATCTCTTGGACCCTCTCTCTCTTTCAGCGTGAGTGTATTTCTATGCATGTGGGCCAAGCCGGAGTCCAGATGGGTAACGCCTGTTGGGAGCTGTACTGCCTGGAGCATGGGATCCAGCCGGACGGACAGATGCCCAGCGACAAGACTCGTGGAGGTGGAGATGACTCCTTCAACACCTTCTTCAGTGAGACCGGAGCCGGAAAGCATGTCCCCCGTGCCATCTTCGTAGATCTGGAGCCCACTGTCATCGGTGAGATGAGACTCCTCTGAAATCCTGGAGGAAATCTATTGGATTAGCGTTCAGTCTTTGAATGATTTGATATTCTTTCCCAAGATATTCCTCATATTCTGAATATTAGGATATTCTAAATCTACCTTTGTCTTTCAGATGAGGTTAGGACAGGTATCTATCGTCAGTTGTTCCACCCTGAGCAGCTGATCACTGGTAAGGAAGATGCTGCCAACAACTACGCCCGCGGTCACTACACCATCGGCAAGGAGATCATTGACATCGTGCTGGACAGAACACGCAAACTGGTGAGTCATCATTCTGAAATAGGGCTCTAACTAGGGTTCTACATGGAACTTTTTTCATTCAAGAAAGTTCTTCGGAAACCTTCTCTGTGGAAGACAGCGTTTTAAAAGGGTTCTTTGGTGGGTCAAAAAGTTCTACCTGGAACCATACAGGGACAAGCCGAAGAACCGTTTATGGTTCTAGGTAGAACATGCAAACAGGTTCTGCATTCTAGTCTTACTACTATAGCATAAGATAACATCTAACAATGTTATTGTACAATTTCTCCATTCAGGCTGACCAGTGCACTGGGCTCCAGGGATTCCTCATCTTCCACAGCTTCGGAGGAGGCACTGGCTCTGGTTTCACTTCCCTGCTGATGGAACGTCTGTCTGTCGACTACGGAAAGAAGTCTAAGCTTGAGTTCGCCGTTTACCCAGCTCCCCAGGTGTCCACAGCTGTGGTGGAGCCCTACAACTCCATCCTGACCACCCACACCACCCTGGAGCACTCTGACTGTGCCTTCATGGTGGACAACGAGGCCATCTATGACATCTGCCGTAGGAACCTCGACATTGAGCGTCCCTCATACACCAACCTCAACAGGCTCATTGGCCAGATCGTCTCCTCCATCACTGCCTCCCTGCGCTTCGATGGAGCCCTGAATGTTGATCTGACAGAGTTCCAGACCAACTTGGTGCCCTACCCCCGTATCCACTTCCCTCTGGCCACCTATGCCCCAGTCATCTCCGCTGAGAAGGCCTATCACGAGCAGCTGTCAGTCGCTGACATCACCAACGCCTGCTTCGAGCCAGCCAATCAGATGGTGAAGTGTGACCCTCGTCATGGCAAATACATGGCCTGCTGTCTCCTGTACCGTGGTGACGTTGTTCCCAAAGATGTCAACTCTGCCATCGCTGCTATCAAGACCAAGAGGAGTATCCAGTTTGTGGACTGGTGTCCCACTGGCTTCAAGGTGGGTATCAACTACCAGCCCCCTACGGTGGTTCCTGGAGGAGACCTGGCCAAAGTCCAGAGGGCTGTGTGCATGCTGAGCAACACCACGGCCATCGCTGAGGCCTGGGCCCGTCTGGACCACAAGTTTGACCTGATGTACGCCAAGCGGGCCTTTGTGCACTGGTACGTTGGTGAGGGCATGGAGGAGGGAGAGTTCTCTGAGGCCAGAGAAGACATGGCAGCTCTGGAGAAGGATTATGAAGAGGTGGGCACTGACAGCGTGGGAGAAGAGGATGAGGAGGGAGAGGAATATTAAAGGGTTAAACATGCTTTGCCACCCTACATTCCAACACTGACTGTTGGAGGCCCACACTTAACATGACAGCAACACATTCCCCACTGCGGTGTTAACAGTCTCTGCTACATCTAGTCATGTTGTGTCTGTATTCTCAATAAACACGCCACGTCTCTTGTCTAGACGAAAAATAGAATGTGAAATGAGTTTGTTTTTTGGGGGAAATCTGTTGGAGTTCTCGCGGCAGCCGTTAACGAGGTCTCCGTTGAGTAAGTACTACCAGGGGTGGAACGCCGGTCAACGTAGCGACGTGGAACTGAACCCTCATACTGCCGTCCGTTGGCAAATATGGTTGTAGCCTACTGAAATGGCACAGGTAGACACCGCTGCATCATTTTTTTTTTGCCTAAGAGTGATATTTTGGGGACAGCTATTGATATTTGGTAGTCATCCTTGCAGAGCTGGTACATTAATGCCGATTACAACTTGAGTGGCGCACTGGTCTAAGGCACTGCATCGCAGTGCTAGCTGTGCCACTAGAGATCCTGGTTCGAATCCAGGCTCTGTCGTAGCCGGCCGCGACCGGGAGACCCATGGGGCGGCGCCCAAGTCGTCCAGGGTAGGGGAGGGAATGGCTGGCAGGGATGTAGCTCAGTTGGTAGAACATGGTGTTTGTAACGCCAGGGTTGTGGGTTCGATTCCCACGGGGGGTATGAAAAAAAATATATAATAAAAAAATAATAATAATGTATGCACTCACTACCTGTAAGTCGCTCTGGATAAGAGCGTCTGCTAAATGACTAAAATGTAAATGTAGATGGATCTCCCTTGAGTGGTAGCCTCTCCGCCAGCCAACTTGGTTTGAGATACTCGTATTAATTTGCCTATAGCCTATACTCTGATGTGACTGGGCTGTTTTCTCCTACCATTTCCACCTAGCAAACATGACTACATACGCAACCCAGTGACATGTTGCAGCTCTGGTATTCTCCTCTTTAACCACTAGGTGGCACAGTAACCTAATGTACACTAGTGGTGCGGACATGTGGAAAACTAAAGGACTGGCACCATAGAGATCTCTAAACTTGGAAATGACCTGTTTCAGCATGGACATTGCCATTAAAGGCTTCCGCCATTTTTTAAAAAGTAGTCAGCTGGGTGTGGGTTCCTATGGTGTGGGAGCAATCAGCCAATGATCAGAGCATTTTCTTCATCAAGTTGGGTTGTATGGCTTTAAACTTTATTACTGCCATCTACTGGCCACAATAAATTAATGACAGAAGATGTGGTTCAGGACTCCAGCACTGCAGGTGGTGGTAAAGCACTAATATTTTACACTTGTTTTTTTTTCAAACCAAAAAGAAGAAGAAAATGTACTACTTTAAAATGGAGGTGGCCTCAATGACGCTGCCCATGATGTCACAGACTCCATAATGGCACAGATAGAAAAGTTGAGACCTCTTTCAATCTATGACTGACACCTGTCCTCTGTCATTGAGTTCAGGCTTCTTTCTCATCAGTGGAATACCTAAAACTAGCCCAGTGGTTTTCAGTCTTTGGGTACAGCAGGTGGTCCGCACATTTTCGTTGGATTAAAAAAAAAAAATTTTTCAATAAAGAGCTATTAGCAGCGCTATCTAGCGAGTTTTGGTTGATTTTTGTGGTCTCAAACCAGCGAGTTTGCCAACATTCGTCATCAAGAATATGGAGTTATTTATAATTGCCACATTTATTATCAATACATCATTAGAAATTGTTTACCAGATTGCATTTCGGTTCATTTCAACCCTGCGATTCAAATATTGGGTCGCGACTGAGGCAACCTGGTTAAATTTGGCTCCTGAGGAAAAAAAAAAAAAAAACAGTTGCGAACCACTGGTTTAACAAACATCCATCTGCAATAAAAGGCCTTCCATCTGCATCCATCTGTAATAAAAGGCCTTCCATCTGCATCCATCTGTAATAAAAGGCCTTCCATCTGCATCCATCTGTAATAAAAGGCCTTCCATCTGCATCCATCTGTAATAAAAGGCCTTCCATCTGCATCCATCTGTAATAAAAGGCCTTCCATCTGCATCCATCTGTAATAAAAGGCCTTCCATCTGTAATAAAAGGCCTTCCATCTGCATCCATCTGTAATAAAAGGCCTTCCATCTACATCCATCTGTAATAAAAGGCCTTCCATCTGCATCCATCTGTAATAAAAGGCCTTCCATCTGCATCCATCTGTAATAAAAGGCCTTCCATCTGCTACATTCACAGATAACTCTACATTTGACCACTAAGATCTTTTATGTTAAATTCAACGACTTGATTGGTGGTCCTCGAGCGGTTGACAGTGATTTGGTCGTCCCCGGAAAGGAAAAGCTTAGGAAGCGCCGTTAAGCCTTCCCTCTTTTGATTTGGATTAAACGGTTCCATTCTAATATGGGCAATAGACAATAGTTTTTTTATTATAAAAAAAAAAAGATCTCCAAGTTTAGTCCTGTGAAAAAGCCATATGGTGCAACCACTATAATTTGCTATATTTAAATGTATTTTCATATGATAATTTAGACACTATTTCAGATGCATTCACATTGAGAAATACAAACTTATATATATCAACAACAAAAAAACATGGGGGATTGGAAGTGACAATTACATTGATGGAAGTTACAATCTATCTGCAATATTAAGCTGATCTAGCCCCCCCCCCCCAAAAAAAAGGCTCCTCCTGGAGACATGTTCTCCCAGGCCCGGAACACAGGAGACTTGAAGCCCCACCCCATAGCACCCCAATATATACATTTCCTCGCTGTGATCAGAGATAGGAGAGGAGAGAGATGGAACACTCATTACCTGTGATCAGAGATAGGGGAGGAGAGAGATGGAACACTCATTACCTGTGATCAGAGATAGGAGATGAGAGAGATGGAACACTCATTACCTGTGATCAGAGATAGGGGAGGAGAGAGGGAACATTCATTACCTGTGATCAGAGATAGGGGAGGACAGAGATGGAACACTCATTACCTGTGATCAGAGATAGAGGAGGAGAGAGGGAACACTCATTACCTGTGATCAGAGATAGGGGAGGAGAGAGATGGAACACTCATTACCTGTGATCAGAGATAGGAGAGGAGAGAGATGGAACACTCATTACCTGTGATCAAAGATAGGGGAGGAGAGAGATGGAACAAGGAGTGAACAAAATGATAACACAACATAATGACAGTACAACATAACTCCTATTTATACAAATACATATCAATAACGGATCACGGTCAAATTATTAAATTATGCGTATAACTGTACGTTGTTGGAAAATGGACCCTGCGATTCAAATATTGGGTCGCGACTGAGGCAACCTGGTTAAATTTGGCTCCTGAGGAAAAAACCAGTTGCGAACCACTGGTTTAACAAATATCCATCTGCAATAAAAGGCCTTCCATCTGCATCCATCTGCAATAAAAGGCCTTCCATCTGCATCTACATTCGATGCAAGAACAGCGCCGGAGAAGATGGCTGCCGTTTTACAGCCCTCTAACCAATTGTACTATTATGTGTGTTTTTCCGCCTTATTTGCAATTTATTTTGTACATAATGTTTCTGCCATCGTCTCTTATAACCAAAAAGAGCTTCTGGATATCAGGACAGCGATTACTCACCTCGTATTGGACAAAGATTTTTTCTTCAACGAGGCGGCCGCGAAGGATATCATACAGACACCCGACAAGGCCCAAATCCCCGTCATTCGCGTGAGGAAGAGACGGAGATATCGTGGACGTAGATCGGGGTGCCTTGTAAGGATCCGACGGCGAGCGAGTAAACTGCCTCTTCCATCAATCCTATTAGCCAACGTTCAATCTTTTGAAAATAAAGTGGACGATTTAAGATTACGGTTATCCTACCAACGGGACATTAAAAACTGTAATATCTTATGTTTCACCAAGTCGTGGCTGAACGACGACAATGATAACATTCAGCTAGCGGGCTATACGCTACATCGGCAGGACAGAACGGCTGACTCCGGTAAGACAAGGGGTGGCGGTCTGTGTATATTTGTAAACAACAGCTGGTGCACAAAATCAAATACTAAGGAAGTCTCGAGGTTTTGCTCGCCTGAGGTAGAGTATCTTATGATAAGCTGTAGACCACACTATTTACCAAGAGAGTTTTCATCTATATTTTTCATAGCTGTCTATTTACCACCACAAACCAATGCTGGCATTAAGATTGCACTGAATGATTTGTACAAGGCCATTAATCAACAGGAAAACGCTCATCCAGATGCAGCGCTCCTAGTGGCCGGGGACTTTAATGCAGGGAAACTTAAATCCGTTCTACCTAATTTCTACCAGCATGTTAAATGTGCAACCAGAGGGAAAAAAACTCTAGACCACCTTTATTCCACACACAGAGACGCATACAAAGCTCTCCCTCGCCCTCCATTTGGCAAATCTGACCATAACTCTATCCTCCTGATTCCTGCTTATAAGCAAAAACTAAAGCAGGAAGCACCAGTGACTCGGTTAATAAAAAAGTGGTCAGATGACGCAGATGCTAAGCTACAGGACTGTTTTGCTAGCACAGACTGGAACATGTTCCGGGATTCTTCAGACAGCATTGAGGAGTACACCACATCAGTCACTGGCTTCATCAATAAGTGCATCGATGATGTCGTCCCCACAGTGACCGTACGTACATACCCCAACCAGAAGCCATGGATTACAGGAAACATCCGCACTGAGCTAAAGGGTAGAGCTGCCGCTTTCAAGGAACGGGACTCTAACCCGGACGCTTATAAGAAATCACGCTATGACCTCCGACGAACCATCAAACAGGCAAAGAGTCAATACAGGTCTAAGATTGAATCGTACTACACTGGCTCTGACGCTCGTCGGATGTGGCAGGGCTTGAAAACTATTACAGACTACAAAGGGAAGCACAGCCGCGAGCTGCCCAGTGACACAAGCCTACCAGACGAGCTAAACCACTTCTATGCTCGCTTCGAGGCAAGCAACACTGAAGCATGCATGAGAGCACCAGCTGTTCCGGATGACTATGTGATCACGCTCTCCGTAGCCGATGTGAGTAAGACTTTTAAGCAGGTCAACATTCACAAGGCCGCAGGGCCAGACGGATTACCAGGACGTGTACTCCGAGCATGTGCTGACCAACTGGCAAGTGTCTTCACTGACATTTTCAACATGTCCCTGACTGAGTCTGTAATACCAACATGTTTCAAGCAGACCACCATAGTCCCCGTGCCCAAGGACTCTAAGATAACCTGCCTAAATGACTACCGACCCGTAGCACTGACATCTGTAGCCATGAAGTGCTTTGAAAGGCTGGTCATGGCTCACATCAACAGCATTATCCCAGAAACCCTAGACCCACTCCAATTTGCATACCGCCCCAACAGATCCACAGATGATGCAATCTCTATTGCACTCCACACTGCCCTTTCCCACCTGGACAAAAGGAACACCTACGTGAGAATGCTATTCATTGACTACAGCTCAGCATTCAACACCATAGTGCCCTCTAAGCTCATCACTAAGCTAAGGATCCTGGGACTAAACACCTCCCTCTGCAACTGGATCCTGGACTTCCTGACGGGCCGCCCCCAGGTGGTAAGGGTTGGTAACAACACATCTGCCACACTGATCCTCAACACGGGGGCCCCTCAGGGGTGCGTGCTCAGTCCCCTCCTGTACTCTCTGTTCACCCATGACTGCATGGCCAGGCACGACTCCAACACCATCATAAAGTTTGCCGACGACACAACAGTGGTAGGCCTGATCACCGACAACGATGAGACAGCCTATAGGGAGGAGGTCAGAGTTCTGGCCGTGTGGTGCCAGGACAACAACCTCTCCCTCAACGTGACCAAGACAAAGGAGATGATTGTGGACTACAGGAAAAAAAAGAGGACTGAGCACACCCCCATTCTCATCGACGGGGCTGTAGTGGAACAGGTTGAGAGCTTCAAGTTCCTTGGTGTCCACATCACCAACGAACTATCATGGTCCAAACACACCAAGACAGTCGTGAAGAGGGCACGACAAAGCCTATTCCCCCTCAGGAGACTAAAAAGATTTGGCATGGGTCCTCAGATCCTCAAAAAATTCTACAGCTGCACCATCGAGAGCATCCTGACTGGTTGCATCACCGCCTGGTATGGCAACTGCTTGGCCTCCGACCGCAAGGCACTACAGAGGGTAGTGCATACGGCCCAGTACAACACTGGGGCCAAGCTTCCTGCCATCCAGGACCTCTATACCAGGCAGTGTCAGAGGAAGGCCCTCAAAATTGTCAAAGACTCCAGCCACCCTAGTCATAGACTGTTCTCTCTGCTACCACACGGCAAGCGGTACCGGAGTGCCAAGTCTAGGTCCAAAAGACTTCTCAACAGCTTCTACCCCCAAGCCATAAGACTCCTGAACAGCTAATCATGGCTACCCGGACTATTTGCACTGCCCCCCCCACCCCATCCTTTTTACGCTGCTGCTACTCTGTTAAGTTTTTATGCATAGTCACTTTAACTCTACCCACATGTACATATTACCTCAACTACCTCAACTAGCCGGTGCCCCCGCACATTGACTCTGCAACGGTACCCCCCTGTATATATAGCCTCCCTACTGTCACTTTATTTTACTTCTGCTCTTTTTTTCTCAACACTTTTTTTGTTGTTGTTTTATTTTTACTTTTTTTGTTTAAAATAAATGCACTGTTGGTTAAGGGCTGTAAGTAAGCATTTCACTGTAATGTCTGCACCTGTTGTATTCGGCGCATGTGACCAATAAAATTTGATTTGATTTGATTTGATTTGATTATGATGATACTGGCCAGTAGAATTAAGGATAAATACATATAAATAAACATTCATATATCCACTCTCTCATATTCAGCCCCCTCTAGACAGAGATGGCAGGCACCCCATGAAGGCCTCCCTTCACACTTGGTAACACTGATTTTTGGAAACCGGCTATATAGAAGTTCCTGTAAAAAAACGTAAACTACAAAACACATCAAACAATATGTCCTGTATAAATTAGATTGTTATAGTATAGTTGGGGGGCAAAAAACTATATTGCTGTAACTGGAAGCATTTGGGAATGCATAATAGAGGTTACACCATGCTATCTGAAATGGTATTACACAATGTTTAAAGGGACAATCTGGGATTCAAACAACAACAAAGCCGAACCCTTCCCCCAACACTTTTTGTGGTCAACATGGGCTGCAGCTGGAGGAATGTACCCACTCTAAATTCATAGACAGAGCTATGCATGCAATGATTGATCATTCGTGCGATCAAAACAATATAATGTTTTCCACCAATCCCAGATTGCCCCTTTAATTCCAGAGGAGAGGCTTTGAAAGCTATTGAACTCATGAAGCGGATCTACACTGATGGAACAAATTCTCAAAACGTTTTTTTTTATTATTGCCCTCATAAACCATTTCAATGCCTGTACTCATGTTCATTACCCTGTACTCATGTTCATTACCCTGTACTCATGTTCATTACCCTGTACTCATGTTCATTACCCTGTACTCATGTTCATTACCCTGTACTCATGTTCATTCCTAGTCCGTAAATTAAAATAAGATGTTTGACTACAGAGAGACTTTCGCAGGCTGCTGAATACAATGTATGCAAGACCTGTTTCTGTCTCACTCAAGATTCTTATATCCCTTGAAGATGAAAGTAAATCAAGTTTTTAAAAAATCTAATCAAATGAAATGTTATTTGTCACATGCTTTGTAAACAACCAGTGTCTGCTAATAATGAAATGCTTACTTCCGGATCCTTTTGCAACAATGCGGAGTTAAATAGTGACACAAGGGATAAATACACAGTGAATAACGAATAACAATAATGAGTAAAAATAACATGGCTATATACAGGAAGTATCAGTACCGAGTCGATGTGCAGGGGTACCAGGTAATAACATGGCTATATACAGGAAGTACCAGTACTGAGTCGATGTGCAGGGGTACCAGGTAATAACATGGCTATATACAGGAAGTACCAGTACTGAGTAGATGTGCAGGGGTACCAGGTAATAACATGGCTATATACAGGAAGTACCAGTACTGAGTTGATGTGCAGGGCTACCAGGTAATAACATGACTATATACAGGAAGTACCAGTACTGAGTTGATGTGCAGGGGTACCAGGTAATAACATGGCTATATACAGGAAGTACCAGTACTGAGTTGATGTGCAGGGGTACCAGGTAATAACATGGCTATATACAGGAAGTACCAGTACTGAGTTGATGTGCAGGGGTACCAGGTAATAACATGGCTATATACAGGAAGTACCAGTACTGAGTTGATGTGCAGGGCTACCAGGTAATAACATGACTATATACAGGAAGTACCAGTACTGAGTTGATGTGCAGGGGTACCAGGTAATAACATGGCTATATACAGGAAGTACCAGTACTGAGTCGATGTGCAGGGGTACCAGGTAATAACATGGCTATATACAGGGAGTACCAGTACTGAGTCGATGTGCAGGGGTACCAGGTAATAACATGGCTATATACAGGAAGTACCAGTACTGAGTTGATGTGCAGGGGTACCAGATAATAACATGGCTATATACAGGAAGTACCAGTACTGAGTTGATGTGCAGGGCTACCAGGTAATAACATGACTATATACAGGGAGTACCAGTACCGAGTCGATGTGCAGGGGTACCAGGTAATAACATGGCTATATACAGGAAGTACCAGTACTGAGTTGATGTGCAGGGGTACCAGGTAATAACATGGCTATATACAGGAAGTACCAGTACTGAGTTGATGTGCAGGGCTACCAGGTAATAACATGACTATATACAGGAAGTACCAGTACTGAGTTGATGTGCAGGGGTACCAGGTAATAACATGGCTATATACAGGAAGTACCAGTACTGAGTTGATGTGCAGGGCTACCAGGTAATAACATGGCTATAAACAGGAAGTACCAGTACTGAGTCGATGTGCAGGGGTACCAGGTAATTGAGGTACAGTGCCTTCAGAAAGTGTTCATACCCTTGACTTATTCCACATTTTGTTGTTTCCGCCTGAATTCAAAATGGATTGAATTGATTTTTTTTTTATCTCACCCATCTACACACAATACCCCATAATGACAAAGTGAAAACTCAAAATGTAATACATTTCTACTTTACATCTGACATGGTACAGGTGTCTTCTTTTTTTTAAAGCCCGTAACCATGAGTGTGAGGTGTATATTTTTGTTTCAAAGTAGATTTGTTTAAGACTACCAAAAATCACTCTGTGTGACCCTGATGTAGCCCTCTGCAGTACAAGGTTAAAAGTGAGACACTCATCTATCAAGAAACCCAAGCACTTGTAAGTTTATGCCGTTTCAATTTGCTTGTCCTGCATGGTGACTGTACTCTGAGGAGTCTGAGGTTTCATCTTAGATTTCGTAAAAAACATATTTGTATCAGTGTTTAAAAGTGACTTCAGCTAACAGAGCTGAGTCTGGCCTTATTCAGTATTTCTGCACAACAATAACTAACTGTGTGATCAGCATAAAAATGGAAAACAGCATTTGACAGATTATTAATATAGATAATAAACAATAGGGGTCAAAGGACAGAGCCCTGTGGCACCCCCTTCTGGCGAGATATCCATCCAACGTCGACCAAGCCGGAGCCCAGAGAGGTAATGCCTGCTGGGAGCTGTACTGCCTGGAGTATGGGATCCAGCCGGACGGACAGATGCCCAGTGACAAGACCTGTGGGGGTGGAGGTGACTCCTTCAACACCTTCTTTAGTGAGATGGGAGCCACAGAGGGTTATTCTACAAATGTATGAAGTAAATGTTCGTAGGGAGGATGGAGAGTTGCATGTGTAAACTCTCACCAGCGTGTTAGGTTAGTGGATAGTTAGTTGAAGAATGAGTTGATAGTTGAAGAATGAGTTGATAGTTGATCTATAAACCATAAGTATGACGATTCTCCAAATTAAGTATTACCGAAATATCATAACGAGCATTAAATGTATTCTGGTGTTTTTCAGGCTGACAGGTGCACTGGGCTCCAGGGATTCCTCAATCTCCCACCCCTCTCCCCTACACCACACCACCTCCTCATCTCCCACCCTCTATCCTACCCCACTCCCCTCTCTCATCTCCCGCCCTCTCCCCACACCACCCCTCTCTCATCTCCCACCCCTCTCCCCACACCACACCACAACCACCCCTTCTCTCATCTCCCACCCCGTCCCCCTCCCCCCACAACACCACCCTCTCCATCTCCCACCCCTCTGCCCCACACCACCCCCTTCTCCCATCCCCACCCCCTCTCCCACACGCACCACACCAACCTTCTCTCTCTCCCACCCATCTCCCACCCACACCACAACCACCCCCCCTCCTCCCAATCTCCCACCCCTCTCCCCACACCACACCACACCACAACAGCACCACCCCTCTCCCACTCCCCATCTCCACCCCTCTCCCCCACCCCCTCTCCCTCATCTCCCCACCCCTCTCCCCATGCACCACACCACCCTCTCACCATATTCCCACCCCTCTCCCCACACCACACCACACCACACCACCCTCTCCCCTTCTTTTGTAGCCTCTTCATACCATTCAGCTGTCTATGACTTCACGAGAGATAGAGCAGGGAGAATTAGTGACTGGTGTTGTTTGTATCACAATATGTTCTACCAACAGACACAGCTATGTTAGAACAATAGGCCAATTGTCATCTGTCAATTTGTTTTGTTTTTTAAGATCCCCTTTTCTTGTACATTTCTAGTTTCATAATTTCAACCAATCCCTGACTGCTATTAGCCTACCATTTGAAGGTTACTCCACTAAAATATTTTGGTTAGGATTTGGTTATGATTTAGAATGAGGACGCCAACAGCATCTTGTAGTTTCCATAGAAATGTGTCTGTTGTACAATGTATTTGGCGAATGAGAAATAAAGAAAGAATTCATTGTTTTATTTTTGTCTTTTCTTGAAAGAGAGCTGTTATTTAGGGTAACTTGTATATTGGGAGTTGAATCTGTCAATCAAACAGTGAGGAGTGCAAACAAACCGTGTTTGACAGGCGGCCTCACAGACCAAAATTCACCAAAAGTTAAATTAGCTGATAAAGATTATCTCGTAGAACAAAACGTATAAGATCTCCTAGCCTACGTTTACCAAAGACCTTATTTTCGCCGTTTATCCAAACCCCCACCCCAAAAAAAACCATAGGCTTTGTGGTCCTCTGTAGCTCAATTGGTAGAGCATGGCGCTTGTAACGCCAGGGTAGTGGGTTCGATCCCCGTGACCACCCATACGTAAAAATGTATGCGCACATGACTGTAAGTCACTTTGGATAAAAGCATCTGCTAAATGGCATATTATTATTGTCCAACGAGCCATGGAGGAGTTAGTGCCTAAAAAAATACGCCATTATTACTGCTCTCTATACCCATAATTCTTCGTAAAGAGTCAGCCTTTTTCTGTTATAAGGAAGGGGGGGGGGGCCTTCCCTGTTCTTTTCAAACCAACAGTCTCTCCCGCCAACCAGACTGTGCTGTCTGCTTCCTGCCGGGTTGGCTGCTTCCCCGACATATAAATACCCCACCTCTTCCTCCCTGCTGCAGTTCTGCCTTCTCTTCTGAATCCTCAACGTCAGCCTGTGAAGGAAAAGAAAACCAGACAAAATGGTGAGTGCTGACTGCTGATGTGGATAATACAATGATCTTTCTCTCTTTCATATGGTATTCATATTTAATGACAGGCTTAGATAAGGCTGATGATAGTGAAGGAGGGATCATCTTTTTGGAAGAACAGCATGTGGATAATGATGGTTATTCTGTTACATAAAGACCATGTGATTCTCTGCATTTCCTCTTTTTCTTTTATAGATGTTATGGTGTTATGTATATACGGTTTCATACTGGTTTATATATTTATATTGTATAATTTTGGTAAACAAATATTCTTGTGACAGAATCATTTATAGCCCATGCATCAAATGTGGGTCAGATTTCAGTGTTCTAATGTCTATGTACATAGTAATTGTTCTACTTGGTGATAGACTATCCACTGTGTAGATGGAAAACCTCTTAGCTTCAGGGCAAAAACATGAATCGCTGATCATTCAGATTTTCTGTGAAATAATGTACGTCTTTATGAGATTTCTGCCATTCTGAGAGAGGAGGATGGAATGATTGAGCACAAAGGAGAACAGGGAGGGAGGAGCAATCTGGGATGGGTAGCCATTTTCTCTGTTAGGGTCTGTGTGAGAGACATCTCACGCTGTTACACTGCAGGGGGGAGAAAGGAGAGAGGAGACAGAGAAAAAGGGAGAGGAGAGGAGGAGGGGTGTCCCACAGCGAGGAGAGAGGAGAGGAGGAGGGGGTGGCCCAGAGGGAGGAGAGAGGAAAGGAGAGAGGAGAGGAGAGAGGAGAGGAGGAGGGGGTGGCCCAGAGGGAGGAGAGAGGAAAGGAGAGAGGAGAGGAGAGAGGAGAGGAGGAGGGGGTGGCCCACAGGGAGGAGAGAGGAGAGGAGGAGGGGGTGGCCCAGAGGGAGGAGAGAGGAGAGGAGAGAGGAGAGGAGAGAGGAGAGGGAGGAGGGGGTGGCCCACAGGGAGGAGAGAGGAGGAGGGGGTGGCCCACAGGGAGGGAGAGAAAGAGGAGAGAGGAGAGGAGGAGGGGGTGGCCCACAGGGAGGAGAGAAAGAGGAGAGAGGAGAGGAGGGGGTGGCCCACAGGGAGGAGAGAAAGAGGAGAGAGGAGAGGAGGGGGTGGCCCACAGGGAGGAGAGAAAGAGGAGAGAGGAGAGGAGGGGGTGGCCCACAGGGAGGAGAGAAAGAGGAGAGAGGAGAGGAGGGGGTGGCCCACAGGGAGGAGAGAAAGAGGAGAGAGGAGAGGAGGGGGTGGCCCACAGGGAAGAGAGAAAGAGGAGAGAGTAGAGGAGGAGGGGGTGGCCCACAGGGAGGAGAGAAAGAGGAGAGAGGAGAGGAGGGGGTGGCCCACAGGGAAGAGAGAAAGAGGAGAGAGTAGAGGAGGAGGGGGTGGCCCACAGGAAAAATACATTTTCCTCTCTGGTCCTCTCTTAAAGATACAGGCTCATAAATAATGATCTGTCGTCAAATGGCAGATAAAGAATTTGCAAAATGACGTAAATGACGTACAGTATTAGTGTCATATACTCAAGATGGTGGCCGTACTATTCAGCCTAATCCAACCAGGATAGCCTAGTGTAGCCAATGACTTTGCTTTGATGTCATTTTGCTAAAATGGTTGATAATATCCCTTATGTATTTTTTTAATCTGATTTGACTTTCACTTATCATAGGGATCTTACAGTAATAGATTGATGATTGATTCTGCATTACATTACAATACATTACATTACATTACATTACATTACAATTTAAACTGTCTGAAACGGCTTTCAACACATATTTTCTTCACTCCACTCCATTGTATATCAACTTCACTGTGTATTTAATGTGCATAGACATTATTTGATTCAAATTTCCCTGTAGTTGATCTCTTATTTTAATTTCTTGTGTGTTTTTGTTCTACCTTGTTATTTTTAGTATTTTGGTATTGTTATTGATTACTGCCTTGTTGGAGTTCGAGCTTGCAAGAAAGGCATTTCACTGTAATTGTGCAAATTTGGACATAAAACTTGAAAACTTTAGCCCCTCTCCCTCCCCACTTTAACGCTAAAAATGTGCATATCACTATTTATACGTTTCCATGTCTTGATCTCTCGAGAAAAACTCAGACGAGAGAGAGCATGCGCGCGCGCGCGCGCTGGCCGAGAGCTCGCGAGGAGAGAGAGAGCGAGCTCGCGCGCGAGCTCTCCTCGTCGCTCTCGCTCTCTCTCGCTCTCTCTCTCTCTGAGTCTAGACTCTCTCTCTGTCTGGTCTCTTTCGAGCTCTCGAGCGCGCCGTAGAGAAGCGAGGCGAGCTCGCTCGAGCAAGCGAGCGATCTCTCTAGATCGAGCTCGCTGATCTCTCTGATCTCTCTCTTCTCTCTCTCTCTCTTCTCTCTCTCTCTCTCTCTATCTCTTCTCTCTCTCTCTCTCTCTCTCTCTCTCTCTCTCTCTCTCTCTCTCTCTCTCTCTCTCTCTCTCTTTCAGCGTGAGTGTATTTCTATGCATGTGGGCCAAGCCGGAGTCCAGATGGGTAACGCCTGTTGGGAGCTGTACTGCCTGGAGCATGGGATCCAGCCGGACGGACAGATGCCCAGTGACAAGACCTGTGGAGGTGGAGATGACTCCTTCAACACCTTCTTCAGTGAGACCGGAGCCGGAAAGCATGTCCCCCGTGCCATCTTCGTAGATCTGGAGCCCACTGTCATCGGTGAGATGAGACTCCTCTGAAATCCTGGAGGAAATCTATTGGATTAGCGTTCACAATCTTTGAATGATTTGATATTCTGTCCCAAGATATTCCTCATATTCTGAATATTCTCATATTCTAAATCTACCTTTGTCTTTCAGATGAGGTTAGGACAGGTACCTATCGCCAGCTGTTCCACCCTGAGCAGCTGATCACTGGTAAGGAGGATGCTGCCAACAACTACGCCCGCGGTCACTACACCATCGGCAAGGAGATCATTGACCTGGTTCTGGACAGGACACGCAAACTGGTGAGTCATCATTCTGAAATAGGGCTCTAACTAGAGTTATTCTACAGGAACAGGGTTCTAGATGGGTTGTACATGGAACCTTCTTCATCCAAAGAAGTTTGTTCGAAACCTTCTTTATGGCAGAAAGTGTTCTGAAAAGATTATTTCTAGGGTAATAAGGTTCTACCTGGAACCGTAAATGGTTCTTCTTATGGCAAAGAACCCTTTATGGTTCTAGGTAGAACATGCAAACAGGTTCTGCATTCTAGTCTTACTACTATAACATAAGATAACATCTAACAATGTTATTGTACCATTTCTCCATTCAGGCTGACCAGTGCACTGGGCTCCAAGGATTCCTCATCTTCCACAGCTTCGGAGGAGGCACTGGCTCTGGTTTCACCTCCCTGCTGATGGAACGTCTGTCTGTCGACTACGGAAAGAAGTCCAAGCTTGAGTTCGCCGTTTACCCAGCTCCCCAGGTGTCCACAGCTGTGGTGGAGCCCTACAACTCCATCCTGACCACCCACACCACCCTGGAGCACTCTGACTGTGCCTTCATGGTGGACAACGAGGCCATCTATGACATCTGCCGTAGGAACCTCGACATTGAGCGTCCCTCATACACCAACCTCAACAGGCTCATTGGCCAGATCGTCTCCTCCATCACTGCCTCCCTGCGCTTCGATGGAGCCCTGAATGTTGATCTGACAGAGTTCCAGACCAACTTGGTGCCCTACCCCCGTATCCACTTTCCTCTGGCCACCTATGCCCCAGTCATCTCTGCTGAGAAGGCCTATCATGAGCAGCTGTCAGTTGCTGACATCACCAACGCCTGCTTCGAGCCAGCCAATCAGATGGTGAAGTGTGACCCTCGTCACGGCAAATACATGGCCTGCTGTCTCCTGTACCGTGGTGACGTTGTTCCCAAAGATGTCAACTCTGCCATTGCTGCCATCAAGACCAAACGCACCATCCAGTTTGTGGACTGGTGTCCCACTGGCTTCAAGGTGGGTATCAACTACCAGCCCCCTACGGCGGTTCCTGGAGGAGACCTGGCCAAGGTCCAGAGGGCTGTGTGCATGCTGAGCAACACCACGGCCATCGCTGAGGCCTGGGCCCGTCTGGACCACAAGTTTGACCTGATGTACGCCAAGCGGGCCTTTGTGCACTGGTACGTTGGTGAGGGCATGGAGGAGGGAGAGTTCTCTGAGGCCAGAGAAGACATGGCAGCTCTGGAGAAGGATTATGAAGAGGTGGGCACTGACAGTGTGGGAGAAGAGGATGAGGAGGGAGAGGAATATTAAAGGGTTAAAAATGCTTTGCCACCGTACATTCCAACACTGTCTGTTGGAGGCCTACACATGACGGCAACGCTTTCCCCACTGCAGTGTTAACAGTCTTTGCTACACCTAGTCATGTTGTGTCAGGGTTCTCAATAAACGCGTCATAAACCAACTCAACTGTATCTGTATGTGGTTGTTTTTAGACTCAAAGATGATCTATGATTGACTTTCAAACAAGCAGCTCATAAGAAATCAAGTTTTGATAAGGCTGCAGCTTCAAAGAAGACTGTTTATGTCAGTGTCTGCTAGATTAGAACAGGCTTTATGTCTGCTAGACTAGACAGGCTTTATGTGAGTGTCTGCTAGATTAGAACAGGCTTTATGTCTGCTAGACTAGACAGGCTTTATGTCAGTGTCTGCTAGATTAGAACAGGCTTTATGTCTGCTAGACTAGACAGGCTTTATGTCAGTGTCTGCTAGATTAGAACAGGCTTTATGTCAGTGTCTGCTAGATTAGAACAGGCTTTATGTCAGTGTCTGCTAGATTAGAACAGGCTTTATGTCTGCTAGACTAGACAGGCTTTATGTCAGTGTCTGCTAGATTAGAACAGGCTTTATGTCAGTGTCTGCTAGACTAGACAGGCTTTATGTCAGTGTCTGCTAGATTAGAACAGGCTTTATGTTAGTGTCTGCTAGACTAGAACAGGCTTTATGTCAGTGTCTGCTAACTTAGAACAGGCTTTATGTCAGTGTCTGCTAGATTAGAGCAGGCTTTATGTCAGTGTCTGCTAGACTAGAACAGGCTTTATGTCAGTGTCTGCTAGATTAGAACAGACTTTATGTCAGTGTCTGCTAGCTTAGAACAGGCTTTATGTCTGCTAGACTAGACAGGCTTTATGTCAGTGTCTGCTAGATTAGAACAGGCTTTATGTCAGTGTCTGCTAGACTAGAACAGGCTTTATGTCAGTGTCTGCTAGGTTAGTACAGGCCTGGAAGGTATACAGTATAGGATACGCACAGATTTTAGTAAAACTAGGAACTCATTGAAGACCACACTCCACACAGGTTCAGATGTTTCACATTTACATAGTTGTAAATTATTTATACATGGTCACTATGAAGAAGACTATGATAATACTATAATAATATAATAATACTATAATAATACTACTAATAATATTAAATGTGTCCGCTTTGTTTTGATGTTAATCTGCATATTTCCATAAGTGTTCTTATGAGATGAGCTTTACTACAGTTACAAAATGCCTCTGAAATGAGTAGGCCCAGACCATAGCCGTCCTTTTGCCATTTCCTCATCCAGCCACCAGATGGACACCAAAAGGACCGTGAGCGTTATATTATCAACAGGCAGTGTGGAAATGAAATGACATTTTATTTGTCACATGCTTCAGAAACATAACAGTGAAATGCTGACTTACGGGCCTTTCCCAACAACGCAGAGAGAAAGAAAATAGAGAAATCATAGAAAAGTAAAAACATGTAATAATAAAAGTAATAATAGATACACAATCAGTAATGATAACTTGGCTATATACACGGGGTACCAGTCGAAGTGCAGGGGTACTAGATAACTGAGGTAGATATGTACAGTACCAGTCAAACGTTTTTGAACACCTCCTCATTCCAGGGTTTTTCTTTATTTATACTGTTTTCTACATTGTAGAATAATAGTGAAGACGTCAAAACTATGAAATAACACATACGGAATCATGTAGTAACCAAAAAAGTGTTAAACAAATCAAAATATATTTTATATTTGTGATTCTTCAAATAGCCACCCTTTGCCTTGATGACATCTTTTGCACACTCTTGGCATTCTCTCAATCAGCTTCACCTGGAAGGCTTTTCCAACAGTCTTGAAGGAGTACCCACATACAGTGAGGGGAAAAAAGTATTTGATCCCCTGCTGATTTTGAATGTTTGCCCACTGACAAAGAAATGATCAGTCTATAATTTTAATGGTAGGTTTATTTGAACAGTGAGAGACAGAATAACAACAAAACAATCCAGAAAAACGCATGTCAAAAATGTTATAAATTAATTTGCATTTTAATGAGGGAAATAAGTATTTGACCCCCTCTGCAAAACATGACTTAGTACTTGGTGGCAAAACCCTTATTGGCAATCACAGAGGTCAGACGTTTCTTGTAGTTGGCCACCAGGTTTGCACACATCTCAGGAGGGATTTTGTTCCACTCCTCTTTGCAGATCTTCTCCAAGTCATTAAGGTTTCGAGGCTGACGTTTGGCAACTCGAACCTTCAGCTCCCTACACAGATTTTCTATGGGATTAAGGACTGGCTAGGCCACTCCAGGACCTTAATGTGCTTCTTCTTGAGCCACTCCTTTGTTGCCTTGGCCGTGTGTTTTGGGTGCTCATTGTCGTGCTGGAATACCCATCCACGACCCATTTTCAATGCCCTGGCTGAGGGAAGGAGGTTCTCACCCAAAATTTGACGGTACATGGCCCCGTCCATCGTCCCTTTGATGCGGTGAAGTTGTCCTGTCCCCTTAGCAGAAAAACACCCCCAAAGCATAATGTTTCCACCTCCATGTTTGACGGTGGGGATGGTGTTCTTGGGGTCATAGGCAGTATTCCTCCTCCTCCAAACACGGCGAGTTGAGTTGATGCCAAATAGCTTGATTTTGGTCTCATCTGACCACAACACTTTCACCCAGTTCTCCTCTGAATCATTCAGATGTTCATTGGCAAACTTCAGACGGCCCTGTATATGTGCTTTCTTGAGCAGGGGGACCTTGCGGGCGCTGCAGGATTTCAGTCCTTCATGGCGTAGTGTGTTACCAATTGTTTTCTAGGTGACTATGGTCCCAGCTGCCTTGAGATCATTGACAAGATCCTCCCGTGTAGTTCTGGGCTGATTCCTCACCGTTCTCATGATCATTGCAACTCCACAAGGTGAGATCTTGCATGGAGCCCCAGGCCAAGGGAGATTGACAGTTCTTTTGTGTTTCTTCCATTTGCGAAAAATCGCACCAACTGTTGTCACCTTCTCACCAAGCTCCTTGGCGATGGTCTTGTAGCCCATTCCAGCCTTGTGTAGGTCTACAATCTTGTCCCTGACATCCTTGGAGAGCTCTTTGGTCTTGGCCATGGTGGAGAGTTTGGAATCTGATTGATTGATTGATTGCTTCTGTGGACAGGTGTCTTTTATACAGGTAACAAACTGAGATTAGGAGCACTCCCTTTAAGAGTGTGCTCCTAATCTCAGCTCGATACCTGTATAAAAGACACCTGGGAGCCAGAAATCTTTCTGATTGAGAGGGGGTCAAATACTTATTTCCCTCATTAAAATGCAAATCAATTTATAACATTTTTGACATGCGTTTTTCTGGATTTTTTAGTTGTTATTCTGTCTCTCACTGTTCAAATAAACGTACAAAATCAGTAGGGGATCAAATACTTTTTTCCCTCACTGTATGCTGAGCACTTGTTGGCTGCTTTTCCTTCACTCTGCCGTCCGACTCATCCCAAACCATCTCAATTTGGTTGAGGTCGGGGGATTGTGGAGGCCAGGTCATCTGATGCAGCACTCCATCACTCTGCTTCTTGGTCAAATAGCCCTTACACAGCCTGGAGGTGTGTTGGGTCATTGTCCTGTTGAAAAACAAATGATAGTCCCACTAAGCCCAAACCAGATGGGATGGCATATCGCTGCAGAATGCTGTGGTAGCCATGCTGGTTAAGTGTGCCTTGAATTCTAAATAAATCACAGACAGTGTCAACAGCAAAGCACCCCCACACGATAACACCTCCTCCTTCATGCTTTACGGTGGGAAATACACATGCGGAGATCATCCGTTCACCCACACTGCGTCTCACAAAGACACAGCGGTTTGCAAAAAATAATCTCCAATTTGGACTCCAGACTAAAGGCCAAATTTCCACCGGTCTAATGTCCATTGCTCGTGTTTCTTGGCCCAAGCAAGTCTCTTCTTCTTATTGATGTCCTTTAGTAGTGGTTTCTTTGCTGAAATTCGACCATGAAGGCCTTATCATAGCGCTTGATGGTTTTTGCGACTGCACTTGAAGAAACTTTCAAAGTTCTTGAAATGTTCTGTATTGACTGACCTTCATGTCTTAAAGTAATGATGGACTGTCGTTTCTCTTTGCTTATTTGAGCTGTTCTTGCCATAATATGGACTTGGTATTTTACCAAATAGGGCTATCTTCTGCATACCCCCCTACCTTGTCACAACACAACTGATTGGCTCAAACGCGTTAAGAAGGAAATAAATTCCACAAATTAACTTTTAAGAAGGCACACCTGTTAATTGAAATGCGTTCCAGGTGACTACCTCATGAAGCTGGTTGAGAGAATGCCAAGAATGTGCAAAGCTGTCATCAAGTCAAAGGGTGGCTATTTGAAGAATCTCAAATATAAAATATATTTTGATTTGTTTAACACTTTTTTGGTTACTACATGATTCCATATGTGTTATTTCATAGTTTTGATGTCTTCACTATTATTCTACAATGTAGAAAATAGTAAAAATAAAGAAAAACCCTTGAATGAGTAGGTGTTCTAAATCTTTTGACCGGTAGTGTATATATAACTAGGAATACAGTGACAGATGGTAAACAGTAGCAGCACCATAGTTACATTTTAGTCATTTAGCAGACGCTCTTATCCAGAGCGACTTACAGGAGCAATTAGGGTTAAGCGCCTTGCTCAAGGGCACATCGACAGATTTTTCACCTAGTCGGCTCGGGGATTAGAACCAGCGACCTTTCAGTTACTGGCACAACGCTCTTACCCACTAAGCTACCATATGTGATGAGTCAAATAAAGTTAGTGCATAAAGGGTCAACGCTGATATTCCATGTAGCTATTTGGTCAACTATTTAATTAACTATTTAGCAGTCTTATGGCTTGGGGGTAGAAGCTGTTCAGGGTCCTGTTGGTTCCAGACTTGGTGCATCGGTACTGCTTGCGGTGCGATAGCAGAGAGAACACTTTATGACTTGGGTGCTCAGGGTTT